ATGACGGGCAAGGGTGTCATTGTAGAGATCATTGATCCTGTTGGCCTCAGCTGTGTTTGGATAATGAGTGTTGGTCAACTCCTGAACCTCTCCCCATTTGACAAGGAAGTTTTTGTCAACTTTCACTCCTTCTGATGATGTCTTGCTTTGTTTCAATTGAAATCACCTTTCTGTTTTTTTAGAAGCCATGATTTTCACAACACTTGAATAAATGTAAATACCCTGCACTGAGGTGATGTACGTAATAAACAAGGGCGAAAGCCGAATCCCAACGAGGCTCTGTACTTTAGATATACTAATAATATATTCTAATAATACTAATATATTATAAAAATAGCAGATTGTCATTGGCAATGGAAAAAGAGTGGAAACATCATTCGCACTTGTTCACCTTACGTAACTGCTGAACGGAAAGGCCATTGTTCGCAGCCAGTCCTTTGCTCGAGTCACGTAACAGCCAAACAGAAAGTCCGTTGTTTGCGGCGTTCGTTATACAAGGTGTACGTTACACGAGGCACCACTGTATCTGCTATTAAATATATTTTTGAAGAAGTGGGAGGATGTCAGAATGACAGTCTTAGAATGGCATCTAAACCAGGTTGAGATTAATAGGCTTAGGGATATCTACAATTACAATACTATTAATTACTTCTGAAAAATCTTGAAGAGAGAAAAGCAATTGGCATTGGACAAATTATTTAACCCCCACAAATGGAAAAAACATGACTAATAAAAATGCTAGACTGCATACGTGGTGTGTTCAAAAAGTAGCGGACCTTTGGTCGGCAAAAATAAATTTATTGACTTTGAGGTACAAAACCCTAATCCCCTTCAAAGTAGTCTCCTTGGTAATCTATACACTTCTCCCAGCGTTCCTGCCATTGCTGGAAACACTGCTGGAACGCATCTTTTGGAATGGCCATCAGCCGATCCGTCGGATTCCGCACGATGTCTTCTCTCGACTAAATTCGGGTTCCTTTTAGCGGCATTTTCAGCTTGGGAAATAGCCAAAGGTCACACGGAGCCATGTGGGGAGAGTACGGAGCTTGACGAACCACAAGAGTATTGTGTTTGGCGACGAAAGCCCAAACCAGAATGGGCGGATGCGTTATCACGATGGAGCTGCCAAGTTTTGATCGACCACAGATCCGGTCGTTTGCATCACACTGTATCGTAAAGACAACGAAGGACCTCCTGGTAGTACTCCTTTGCGATGGTTTGGCCTTGTGGTGCGTACTCACGACACCCCACCCCACGAGAGTCGAAAAAACTGTCAACATGACCTTCGATATTGCTGCGGACCTGCCGCGTTTTTTTTTGGCCTCGAGGATCGTCCCCGAAAGCCTGCTGAATCTTGCGAATGGTTTACGCTCGGGTATTGCCAAGGTTTTTGGCAAAATTTGATGTAATATCACTGCTCACGTTGTTCAGTCATTTTCCAGCTTAGTGGAATCCGACGAGAGCGCACTACATGACCTCACTCATAGGCCGATTGCCAATGACTGACGCTTCCTGCAGGCAAGAAAAAATTCAGGGCTGTGCATGACTGTCCCCTCCACAACTCCAACGAAGGAGGCCTCTCGTGCATCATTGGTTTACGCAGAAAAAAAAAGGGTCCAATACTTTTTGAACAGACCACGTATACATATATTTTTACTACTACATATAAATAAACGTAATAAATAAAATACAGTAATACCCCAAACTTACGCGATAGGTGGGACTGAGCGATAACCGCATAAGTTGAATTCACATAAGTCGGGGTATAATTTCGCAATTTGTGTAAAATCTAAGTCGGATGTATGTAAGCTAATAAATGTTCTCGTTAATCTTATTTCGTCTTTTGATTCGTTCACGGTTACAGGAAATCACCACATAGAGTCTCTCAAGTCTCCGTAGATATAACAAACACAGAAATAAATAACACAAAACAAATTGTAGCTATATGTCGATTCTGCGAGACACATCCAAACATGTAAGCTGAACAATAGTGTGGGGGAAGTGAGTAATCAAGAGTTCCGTGGCGCTCAAACAAAAGACGAATTGGCGAGATTTGAAAATCGCGTAACTCCAGGTTCGTGTAAGTCGGGGGTAGCGTAAGTTCAGGTATTACTGTATCCAAAAAATAAAAAAGTATATATTTTTTTATTTTTTGAAGTCTCCAGAATGAATTAATCAAATTCCCATAAAAACCTATGGTAAATCGATAATCAGTTAACAGACAATTCGGATAACAAACAAAGTCTTGGAATAGATTATGTTCATTAACCGATCACCCATTGTACAATTATTTATCTATCATATTATAATGAAAACCAAACTAAAGTTTGTTTCTAACATCCAGATATCAGGATATTAGAATAGCTCTGCTAAGGATTAAAACAGTATTAATAGGAAGAAGAAAAAGAGAGATGGATTTCTGGATTTAGATGCTGAAAGATTAGTGCTATAATAGATATGAAGACGACATCATTAGACCGTATTTAATTTCATTAATGTTTAATTTCTTAGATAATTATTAGATAGATGGATGGATAAGTATAATTAGTTTTCCAAATTTTAAATATGTTAATTTAAAGTTTAAATTTCTTTTAGATAAAATCTGATTGTCACACAATACCTAAGTAAAAAATGATTTAGATGTTGATTTACCCTGATGTTGATTCATCTAATTTAACAGAATGTAATGAATCTGACAATGAGACCAAACATTCAAAAAATGCTCATAAAACAATGTTCTGACTTAAAAAAGATTAGAAAAATTACAATTGTAAATTCACTAAATTTTTATAAATATATTGAAATTTTAATTATTGAATTAGATCTTTAATATCTGTATAATTATATGACTTACATTTGTCTATTGTCAGAATATTCCTATATTATAGTTATTTTATATATATATGTAACAACTTAACTCTTGTAAGATCACCAACACAAAAGATTAAAAAGATTTAATTTATTGAATTTAATGATACTCCTCCTTATTAATATATATATATATATCAACTCAACTGTATATACATCATTTAAAATTTTAAAATTAATTTAAACTGTTTCAAGTAAATTATAAGGCACTAAAGCATGTTCATATAATTTGTTTAATAATATAATATCTTCTTCATATTTTAAATCAAAATTAAGTAAATTTTCATTCAATATATATTGCAATGCTTCTTGTACTTTTAGAAGATCAAAAACATTATGCCAAATAACATCAGAGTTTGATTTGTTTCTTGATAGATTTGTTATAGATCGATTTCCAATATATTGCAATAACTGACAAAATTCTTTCAAATCCATTCCATGATGAGTCTTCAGAATAATCTACAAAATAAAACAGTTATTCACATATCTTATTTTATTTAAAATGCAAATTATTTCATAGAAATTTCCACTTAACACTACTCTGGAAGTTTATTACTTTTAATTATGTAGATAAAACTAAAAAAAAATATATCATATTTTTTACAATTTAGCAAAAATAATATACTGATCTTTTAATAATTATTAGTTATATTTTCTAATATATTTTGTAAAATGAAATCTTAACATTTTAAAACAATGACTGAGCACAATGTTCAAGTTTTTGACAAACAAGTTAATACAAGAAATTATCTTATGTGAACATTTGCTATGTGCTATCTTGCTGAAGATGACAATGTGATAACTTTTTGATGGTATTAAAAATTTATTTGACATTAACTTCTCTTACTTCTGAGGTTCTCATATCTTTCAGATTTAAGATTTTACTTATACATAATCAACCAGTGCTTTTCCACTGGATAGAAAATGAATGGATGTCAAAACATTTTCTATTGGTAACTTCTAAGTTCTTTAAAGATAACTCAAGAATTGTTCACTGCTAATCATCATCATATTGTAAAATATACTTATTGATAAAGCTCTTAAGAATATCTATTGTCATCTGATCCATAATATTCACAGCAAATTTTGTAGTGCCAAACAATATGCTAATTATTTATCAGGCTATATTAAGGCTAATTTAAATTTAATAATTAGATATAAAGCAATTTGACTAGAGATAGGTGGTTAGGCCACCATCTCATGATACCTCTAGCAAATTGCTAAATATATCTAATTATTAAATTTAAATTAGCCTTAATGTAGCCCAATAAATAATCTAGTTAATCATTTGGCTGTTATTAAATTTCATAGTTTCATACTGTTTTCAAGAAGCCTTTGGTTTCTTTGTGTACTTCAATGTTTAAATGCATCTACTTGAAAACTAAACACTTTTATTTATCTTGATAAACAGAAAGAGTTGTTATTGTCCAGGTTTTAATTCTCTGCTAACAATTGCTAGAGACTAAGGATTTCACAAGTGATTGTTATAGATTGGACTACAGATTGAAAACATGCACAAAAATATCAACACAAATCAATAGCTGGACATACTAAATATTTACAACATGCATTTCACTAGAACAGTGATTTCAAAAGTGGACACTACCACCCTGTGGGTGGTGAGTAAATATAGGGAACAAAAAGAAGCAAGTGGGCAGCAGGGGAATGATGGAGACAGTGTACTGAATGGTGACCATAGGCAATGGTTTGGGGTCATTGACAAACCTTTCCCTTTCCTCAATCAAAACAGGCAAGAAGAAACATTGCATTTAATGGTTTTCAAACATTAAAAACAATGTACTGTACAGTAAGGACAGTTGGTAAAAGGGGATGAGGCCTTATTCGGAGGTATAGCCCTAGAAGGAGAAAGGAGGGAAGGAGGGGTCAGGAGGTGGGATGAGGGGAGGAGGGATTAGGGAATAATTATTAGGGAATGGTAATAGAAGGGGGAAGAAGAGAAAGGGTGCCTGCTGGAATTCATTTATTAAAACATAGAATTACATAATTGCAATTTACAATGCCTATACATAATGACTAATAGATGATACACCTGAACGATAATTGGTGTACAGAAGGTGTACAAAAGGACAAAGTGTGAGGTTCGTAAAAAAGTTTTCCTAAGAATATTTCCAAGCCTTTCTCACACAAAGGAAAATGGGTTAGGGAGTGTTGGATATAAGTTTATGGAACGAAGGGGCCAGTGGCTCAAAAAAGTTTGGGAATCACTGCACTACAATAATAAATAAATATGTCAGCAGTAAATAATAACCAGCATAGATTTAAGAAAAATATAATGGTCAAATTGTCTGCTAATGGCCATTCTAGGTATAATGGCCTATATTGGTGTTCCTAAAGAATGTATGCATGCATATTTTTGTATGATCATATATGTCATTAAAAAAAATCAAAAAATTTAAACTCACACTGCAAAAATAATGAGAATGGCACATATATAAAATTTACTAGTAATCAAATTGATTATTCTGGCCATTCTTGTTAGTATTACAGTAGAAAAATTCAAGAAAAATAATTTGCTAAATTAACAAAATTCATTTTAAAAACATGATTGAAATTATCATTGAATAAAAACATACAAAGCTAATACATCTGAACAGCTAAGTCCAAAAACTTCCATAATCTAGAATATCTCTGCTCTCAATAATGTCAGATTAAAAGTGTTCTGTATATTATTTTCAAAATAATTTTTTTCATTAAGTTGTCACATACCAGTCAGTACAGTCAACCCCCCCCATAACACTGTTGATTATTCCATTTTATATGAATTCCATGTTGTAAGAGTCATTTAGATTTTACAAATACATGAGCCGTTTACAGCCCGGCACACGTATTTGTAAAATCTAAGTGACTCGCACAACATGGAATTCATATAAAACGGAATAATCAACAGTGTTATGGGGGGGGTCAACTGTATATTGCTGATTTTTAATTTTAGAAAAATGTATTTATTTAGTAATGATGATTTAGTTATTTCATAAAAATAAATAAATAAATGCTTCTCTCATACATTATATTTACATTGTTGTAAATTGCTTTGGACTTATTCAATAAGTTATTTCTTTTATTTGCAGATATAATAATTCATATTACTAAATTAATAATTTTAAAAGTTACTTTCGAAAATGTAATCACTAATAATGAAAGAAAAAACATTTTATTCCATGTAATAAATTTGTCAGAGCTCAACAAATTATGCAAAACTATACAGTAGACCCCCTATAACACAGTAAATATGTTCCATTTTATATGAATTCTGTGTTTTACGAGTCACTTAAATACATGAGCCAATCACAGCCCAGCATGTGTGCAGTTTAGGGACTACGACTGTTTGAAAGGTTTTCTTCCATAAAATTAATCAATTCTAGACTAATTTGACTCAACATTTCCAAAATACATATAATTTTTTGGGAATAATCCATATAAACTATGCTATAAACAAAAAATTGCAGGATTACTTACCAAGTGTGCACTGTTCGACGATGCCATTGCTTAAGCTTGTTTTCGTTGCGGAGCGGCGCATCGAACGGCAGGTGCGTGTTTTCTGATAAGTTATTTTTCTGTGAAAAATTCACTGAATTTTGGAGACATCATTAATGAAAATTAATTTTATGGCCATTGAATAATAAATGTTTTTTAGTAGTGCTCGTTTAAACTCAACAGTTTGTGCAATGTCTGCTATTGGTCTAGATTCGACCAATCCTGTCGCGATACGAGTTGGCGATGACGTTTTACCATATTATACGAGTCTCTTTTAGCATATTTATATGAATACAATCGCAATTTTTCGCCATGTTATACAAATCTGTATTATATGAACCCGTGTTATAGGGGGGTCTACTGTACTTACTACACAAAAAAAGGTATTTGTCAGAGCAGTTCACATGATAGTTTTGTCTAGTTTGTAATTATTTGCAGATAACATCTATTTTCTTTGAGTAAATAGAAAAATATATTTGCCAAAGCCTGATATTTGCCACCGTAAGTTATTCTTTCTTTAAACAAGTACAGTCGACCCCCCCTATAACCACGGTAGATATGTTCCGTTCTTTATGAATCCATTTTGTACGAGTCCTTGCCAATCACAGCCCAGCACATATGCACTTTATGAACTATGGCTGTTTGAAAGGTTTTCTTCCATAAAATTAATCGATTCCTACACTAATTTGACTCAATATTTCCAAAATACGTATATTTTTTTGGGAATAATCCATATAAACTATGCTATAAACAAAAATTGTAGGATTACTTACTGAGTGTGCACCGTTCGACGTCGCCATTGCTTAAGCTTGTTTTCGTCGCAGAGCAGCGCACCAATAGTGGCCACGATTTCTGATAAGTTATTTTTCTGCGAAAACTTAGTTGAACTTTGGAGACATCATTAATATAAATAATTTTTATGGACGTTGAATAAGAAATGTATAAAATTAGTGCTGTATTAGACTTACGGTACCTAATTTACATACTGAACAGACGATAGTAAACTCAACTTACTCGCCTAAACTCTCTGTAGCGTGGCACTGGATGGCAGAAAGTAGTTCAGCTGCCTGATGGCATTTTACCGAATTATGGGAGTTTTTTTACCATGTTTGTACAGATACCATCGCAATTTTTTTGCCGTCATATAGGAATCTGAACTATAGGAACCCGTGTTATAGGGGGGGTCGACTGTATTTATCTATTTTACATGATTTATATATCTGTATTAATTAAAACATTTTTTTATTTTTATATTGATGAGAACTTTTTCTCAAAATGCATTTCCTGATAAATAAAAAATTTTAAAGTCAACTGATATAATAAAGTAAACTCATAGAGAAAAATGAAACTGTTTTATAAATTTTTATATTAAAAATAAAGAAATATATATCTTAATTTATCAGTAATGCATATTTGTCATATATCTTAATGATAAATTAGCTAATTTCAATGTTATTACTAGTTTCCGAAATTTCAAATTCAATTAATTCAAAAATAATTTCATAAATAAAATTACTTAATATAAATATATTAGGAGTTTAAGAGAAGTTAAGATACATCAGTGCAGAAGTAATTGTTAGTTATTATAGAATGATAGTCATAAGGTTAGACATTTAAAGTTACTTTCCATAATGAAGATAAGAGAAATTTACAAGAATAAACAAAATGAATTTCATTTAGTTTTAAACAAATATCTGGAAAATTCAATACTTCCAATGAGAACCAGGCAAAATATTATGATTGTTTAAAAAATTATAATTTTATTAAACATTTTTGCAATTTATATAATATTACCTTGCATTATTATTTATAAAATTATATAAATTTATTTTGAAAATCTTGATAAAGTATGCATTATAATTATGATTATTATTATTATACTCTCATTCAAACAATTAAAATTTGTATAATAAAATATTTATAAACAAACAAAAATTAAAATGATCCTTTCTTAAATATTTTAGACTTGTTATTTTTTGTTAGTGATATTTTTGATTGTTCTCACAATTGTTTTGACACATCTTTTCCAATAAAATTAAACAATTATACAATTTAAACATTTTAATAAAAATTTTGGTTATTATTTATCACAGAATGTAAATTTATTGTTGGAAATAATTTAATATCATTTACATTCTGAAGTTCTTTTTATTGGATTTACATATTGAATATAAACTATCAATATCTTGAACAGATATTGAATTTAATTAAAAAATGCAGGATGACTTACCTGACATTGCAAATCCCAGTAATCCATATCCTTACAATCTGCTATTTCTTTCTGAACTTCTTTGAGAGCAAAATGTAATTGTTTACAAATATAATTTATATTACAACCATTAAACCAATTATGATTGATTGAAATTGTATCAGCCTATGAAATAATTAGAATATCATCTGTAGAATTAAAAATGTTTCATTAAAATTATACATAATCTATACATACCAAATTCCAAACTTGATGATGCCAACCACTTGGGACAAATATAATTTCACCTGGTTCTTGGATTACCTCTAAAACATCTAATTTATTTAAAGAATCTAATTTAATGTCAAACAATAATTTACCAGTAGAATCAGAGAAAATTTTTTCTTTCTCTGGAGGAACAAGTAACCACTTTTTTCTACCACAAATATTTGCTGACCAACTATAAGAACCAAATACATCAGCATGGAAAGGAGTCCTAAAAAAATAAATAAATAATAATTTTTGAATAAATGAAAATGTTAAAAATTAGATAGAGAATAATTTGAGTTGATGACAATGATGAACTAAAACATACAGCTTTACATTATTTATTTCGTTAGAATTTACAAGTTATAAAGCAAAGTTGCAGGTTTATATAAAGTAATAAGGCAATGACTACTTCATAATAAATTATCTAAAAAATAATAAAAATTCACCAGTTTAGATTATATTTATTTTTATGCTTTCATTAATAAATTTCTATTTTGCTTTGTTATATGATTTACAAATAATTGTACAAACATTTTATTGTTATATATAACTTAAATTTCTGTTATTTGTTTTGTCACAGAGCTCTAAAGTAGAAAATGTTAAATTTCAAGTAACACTATATATAAGAATTAAATCTAAAAAGACAATTACAAATATTAAAATTACTTTTGAAAGAAAACAATTTTATTAATGTATTTATAAGTATTGTACATATTAAACACTTATATTTTTGAATATCTTAGCTTTTTAGAAACCCAATACTCAGAGTACTTATTAAATTTGACCTAAAGTAGCATATAAGATGGTGGATTAATCAATTAAGTTTAATAATTAGAAATTACTTTGAATTAAGATAAGTAATTTAGAGATTTTGGAATTAATTTAATTCAAAATTAATCTTGAGTTATCAAACTTACACAAGAGTGGCCTAACTGCCTATATTTAGGTAAAATTATGTAATTTGATTATTTGATAATTAGCAGTTATAGCCCACAAATAATCCAGTTTTAGGTCTTTAGCTAATTTAATATCAGACTATAGTTTATGTTTATATAAAAATATATGTTTGAATTCAATAATTATTTTATATTCATTCCATTATAAAATTCAACAATTATATTTTTTTCATATACAGTGGTACCTCAGTATACATCTGCTTTAGAATACGTTCAATTCGAGATACGTCCTGTTTGGACAAAACAAATTTTGCTCGGTATACGACTTTTGTTCGGTATACGACATAATTCAATTATACGTGCCATCAATGAACAAGTAGCACTATCGGTGTTCTAGACCCACACTAGACGTTCGCAGTGCAATGATTTATAACTTTGTTAAATTTCTTCTGATTTTAATTCGTAAGTAAAATTTTATTATTTTTATCAATCACGAATCGCAAAAAAAGGCAAATGAAAAGCGACAGAAAACTAAAAAAATGACTATAATTACAACGGAACTGATGAAAGAGATTGTTGAGAAATACGAAGGTGGCTCACGTGTTCAAGATTTTAGCTGTTGCCTACCGTATTCCGAGAACGATGATATGGACAATCGCGAAAAATAAAGACATTATTAAATCTGCTAACATTGCGAAAGGGGTTAAATCAATTTCTAAACAGAGATCGAAGACATTAGATTATGTTGAGAAATTGCTTTTGCTTTGGATAACTGAAAAACAGTGCTGGAGACAGCGTATCGGAAGCAATTATTTGCGAGAAAGCTAAAAAGATACACGCTGATCTCACGAAAAATCAAGCAGGAACTAGCCAGGAAAGCGAGGTGTTTAAAGCCAGCCATTTTTTTTNAATCTTAACGGAATAAAAACTTTGTATTTTTTAAACCTAAACAAAATCTGAAAGAAGTAAACAAATAAGTTTAGAGAGAGAGAGAGAGGAGAGGTTCCCTTCCATAGAAATCGAAATGGTCGCGTGCGGATCAACAGGAACAGTTATTTCCTCTGCCTTTCCATATATTTTATTTTGTCCGGAAAGTAATTCCGCTTCACTTTGAAACAAAAAATGTAAAAGTTAATCGATCTTCTTTTTATATATTTCCTTTTATTCGTCATTAGCTTTTAATAAACTGTATCCACAATCATTTTTCCGAATTAAATATTAATTTTTTTGAGGGGGGATTACCTTCAATTACATATATATATATATATATATATACACACTAAAATAAAGATTATATTACCTATAGACAGTTTTCAACTTTCAAACATCATCCTTTAATTAACATTTAGATTATCTCTTTCATACATAAAACATTAACTCAATTTTCTTATGCCAAATTCACACTTTTGTAATTTGTCTATTGACAAACAAAAATTTTGAGTTATCATGTGATGAAGTTTTCTGCCAGTTTTGGTTATAGCAACATCAAAATCATTTATAAAAGTTAATTTTTATCTGTTTTATGTTTAATTTGTGATTTTTAACATTTGAAATAATGTTTTATACTTTGTTACATATTATAAAATACTAAAACTTTCCTAACCTTAGTAAGAGATTTTATAATTTTTCTTTTTACTCTCTGCGATCGGAAACCTCTTTTTAACAAATCTATTGCTATGTCTATTTTAGATATTCAACCCTTGTAAAATTTTTTAAAAGTGCATTATGTCTGAAAGTTGGCATCTGCCCGTATATTATGAAAAATATGTATAAATGTATTTGCAATAAACTTTCTGAAATTGTATGAAAAGTTATAAAATATATTAATACAGTAATACCCCAACTTATGCTACCCCGACTTACGTGAACCCGGAGTTACGCAATTTTCAAATCTCGTCGATTCGTCTTTTGTTTGAGTGCCACGCAACCCTTGATTACTCACTCCCCCACACTATTGTTCAGCTTACATGTTCAGATGTGTCATGCGGAATCCACACATAGCTACAATTTATTTTGTGTTATTTATTTCTGTGTTTGTTATATCTACAGAGACTTGAGAGACTCTACTATGTCATCCAAACGAAGTAGAACTAATTCTTCTGCATCAAACAAGAAAAGAAAAACTTTATCTTTGGAATGTAAAGTTAACATTGGGTATGTTCGTAAAGTCGAACGAGTTAAGCAAGAATGAAGTCATCGTTATTCCTGTTTCGTTAGACTTTTCGAATGATTCGTTACTAATGCGTTTAACTTGTTTGACTTTACGAACATACCCATTATTAAAGACTTCGATACAAAAATGAACATTTGTGAATTGGCAAAGAGGTTTGATCTACCAGAATTGTCAATCAGAACAATTATAAAAGGCAAAGAAAAAATTCTCGAAGCTGTGAAAAATGCTCAATCTTTAAATTCAAGCATCATTCGTAAACGTCAC